TTGGGCAGGAGGCTGAGAAACAGTGTCAGTTTTTAAACTCCAAAGGCAAAGGGGGCGGAGGACAGAAATCACGCACAGTTGGGACAGGCGGCAGGGCTCAGGGCCAGGGCCTGGGCCTCAGTGAGGAGCTGCGATGCACTTGGGCTGCACTTGGGGTGGGGACGTTTCATCCCAAGGACTTCCCCTCACCTTTTCCATGGGACTCTCATGGCTCTGGGTGGTTTTGCCCCGAGGTCAGCCCCTGCGATGCCCTGCTACCCTGTGAGGCTCAGGGTTGCCCCCTTGTCCCCAGGCAGGGCTGGCAAGTCCATCCCTGGGATCTGCTCCGGCCGATCCTGCTGGACAGGGTGGGTGGGAGCGGCCCCTCCCGGGAGGAAGGATGGGGTACGAGACTTTTGTCCCCCAGAACTGTTCACTGAGCCTGTGCTGGGATTCAAGGTGCTCTGGTGTCGAGGGAAGGAGGTGCCCGCCCGCTGCCAGGCCCTGGGGCCTTTGGCAGTTGGAACTGGGAGGGGCAGGTGGAGGGAGGCGCCCAGCTTGGCCTGGTTGTCAGAATCTGCCCTGGGGTTGCCAGCCCGGCCCCCCACCGGCTCCTCAGGACCAGGTCAGGCATCAGCTCCTCCGGGAAGCCTGCCCAGCCGCCCTGCCCTGATCTAACCTCTTTCTCCGTGTTCCCAGAGCAGCCTGTCCTAGGGTTAATGTCGTTGTCTCTGCGTACTGCTTATCGTGCGTGTGGTGCTGGGCAGCTGCTCTGCCTCGGAGTAGCACCCCAACCCTACACAGTGTTTTGGTTTGTCCTGCTGGCCTGGGCAGATTTTGAGGGCAGGGATTGTGTTTTCTTCAAGAAAGTCCCTGCAGCACAGGTTGTCAAATGTCTGTCAATTGACTGGGAGCAAAACTACAAAAGGGAGATGTAAGAAGACAAAGCAGTGCACACCAGGGCTGTCGGTGCCCTGGCAGTCAGACTCTGATCCTGCAGTGACCCCAGGATCTCAGCATAGATTCTGCGGTGAGGTTCTCAGACCTCCAGGGACCCTTTAGCTTTCGGAGTCAGAGGTGGAGAGGACCCGGCCACACTGACTTCCATTTAAGGGAATGAGGAGCAGGCACTTCTGAGAGGGACTGGTGCTTTGTCACGGGCCTCTGAGCACAGAACAATCTGGGTATCGGGATCAGCTGGCCCCCTGGGGCTCTGCGGGCGTGAGCATCCCCCTCCTGTCACTGGGAAGCTAGGTCGCTCACGTCTAATGAGAGCCCGGTCAGGAGCGTCTTCAAAGCCCTTGGCCTTGGGGGACCAGGGACAGCATGTCAGACATCATGACATCATGCACCTGAGTGCAAACGCGGTAGCTGCGACCCGACATGCTGGCATGCACAGCGGTGTAGACCCCAGGGGTAAACAGGAATGCGCTGAAATTGAACAGCACTTTTATTTCTGAGGCATCGTGACTTCTGGAGCTTTAAACTTTAAATATTTGGGTCTCGCTATGTGGCCCAGGCTGGCCTCAAAGTCACTGTGTAGCATCTTGAACTCGTGGCGATCCTCCTGCCTCAGCCTCCCGTGTACTGGGATCATGGGTGTGCACCTCCACATTCGGCCGGGGTACACATTTTGAAATACTTTTTAAGATTTTGTAAAATATTTCTGAATGGGGCAGGAGGGTCTTGCTTCATTGTTTTGCTCATTCAAGGAAAACGCAGGGCCTGGGCAGAGCGCAAGAGGGCCGAGGCCCTGGTGACGAGGGGTCCCTTCAGGCTCGAAGGGCAGGAGCTCAGCCCTGGTGCCCGTGCCCACAGAGCGCTCCATCCTCTTTGTGGAGGGGCCTCTCTCCCCTCGGGGCACCCCCTCGCTGCCCTGGAGACGCCGGTGCCCAGCAGTGGCCTCGCCGAGGCGCCTGGCCCCTACCCCACCGCCCTGAGCTCCCCGTGGAAGCCGGTGTTCTGGCTTCGCTCCTTCGAGGCGACCCCTGGGTGCTCCGGCAGCCTCCTCCTGACCTCCACCCCTCTCCTCACCCTGCTCTGGCGTTCATGGAGGGATGGAAATGATGAAATCCCGCCGTCTCTCCTGTCACCCCACGGTGGCCGGGTGACGGACATGTGATGGCCCAGGGACGAGACAAGGGCTGGACGTGGAGATCAAGGACAGTCGTGCCCAGAGGTGTGCAGGGGTGATGCCAGTGCGGGGGTGCTTGGTTCTGCTCACTCTTATTTCTCATGCACCCACACTTAGGGTGTGCCCTGTGTACAAGGAGAAAACCCATTGCACACATTTGCAGAAGTGTAGGGAAGCTGTGCATGGTAGAGCCTCAGTCCCAGGGCTGTGGCTTCTGGCAGAGAGACTAGCTCTGGGGTCAGCAGGGGAATCCAGAGCTCCTTCTGCAAGAAGACAGGGCAGCCGGGCGCGGTGGCCCACACCTGTAGTCCTCACCCGCGGGAGGCTGAGGAGGAGGCTTGGCTCAAGATAGGGAGTTCAAGGCCGGCCTGGAGGGAGAACCTCTCCAGACCCTGCCTCAGAAAGAAGGGGCCTCAGTCCGTGTGGATTCTGCCCGGCCAGCTGTTGTGAACACAGGCTGGGACTGGTCGGACCCCACACGGCCCGAGGTGTGGGCCTGGGGTGGGGTTATTCGCCATTCTTCCTTTGGGGGAGGGTGGCAGCAGCTCATGTGATTTCAGAGGACTCTGCCTTCCCCCGTCTTCGTCCTTGCCCTCCCCTTCGCGGTCACCCCTCCCACTCTCTGTTGTCCCTGTTGCTGCCACTGCTCAGTGTCATCCTGGTTCCCGGTCCCCGCTGCCCCCACCCAGCCTGGGCAGCTGGGTTATGGAGGAAGGGGGACCTGGATGTGGGGCGCAGGCCATGGGGAGCGGGGACCTCGTGTCACTGCCCAGCCCTCCTTTGGTGCGGTGGCTTCTCTGGTGTGGGACTTGGTGAGGGACAGCCTGAAGCCTCACCTGGGCTGAGCTTGGGGTCCACGCCAGGCATGCTCCACTCTGCAGCTGGTGTGGATGGAGGACGCCCAGAGAGGAAGCCCCTTGTAGGACAGCGTGGGGAGGAAGGGGGTGCTGAGCTCCAGCACTCTGCCCTGCTGACTCCTGTGCCCCGTCCCTGCCCCACCCCGCCCCACGGCCCATGCCAGGCTTCCGATCAGCAGGTGCTGGGCTGGGCACTGGGAACCCACATCTAAGCTGAATTTGTGGGCACTGCTGAGACTGCAGCTCTGAGGACCACACTTTGAGAACCATAGTTCTTGACTTTTTCCCAACGGGCAGGCAGAGTGGACTGGCTCCTTGTCACCTGGGTCCTGCTGGGGCCCCGGGGGCCCATCTGGGGTGAGGACAAGCTCAGGAACCAAGCTTCCAGCCAGTTTTGCCATCGTAGCAGTGCCCCGGCCTGGTCCCGGGCACCCAGGGGGCACATGCGTGGCCCTGCCCATGTTCTCCTGCGGGCAGCATGGAGCTGCCAGGAGGCCAGGGAGGGCAGGGCGCCCTGCCTGGTCCCAATGCGGGGGCCCATGTGGCCCAGAGGAGAGAAAGGCAGAGTGGGGCCAGCATCCTCTGGCGTGGATTCTCCTCCAGGATCCCTGGGGCACAGGCCGGGGACAAAGACGCAGAAATGCTGCTCGCCCCGCATCCCCCCTCTGCCCTGCGGACTCCCCGCTGGGCCGGCAGCTGAGCTATGGACTACGTGACTCGCAAGGATGCGCTGTCAGCAGTCTTTGTTGACCAAAGCATGGTCAGATAAGCCCGGAGCAGTCACCAGGAAACTGTCCCTCCTCACTGGCTCCCCTGGGATAATTGAGATGACATCAGCCTGTGGTTCTGGAAGGTCCCACGTCCCTGGGGTGGGGTGGAACTTGGGGTGGAACTGTTACTGCCTGTGGTTCAGCAGTCGGAGCCAGGGTGACGCCAGACTCATCTAGAGGGTCTGGGCCCCCCAGACCCCCAGAAGTTGATTGAACTCCTTCCCTCTGCAGGAGGAGTGGGGTTCGAGAACTGGGGGTGTTGGAAAGGCCAGGTACAGATGTGGCCAGGACCGACAGGCTGGGAGAGCAAGGTCCCCGGAGGCTGGGCACCCGGAGGCCGGGCACCTGGCAGTACGGAGGGGCAGGGCTCCAGAACCCCCGTCTGCCAAGGTGGCCCTGGCGGCTTCCCTGCGTGGGGGCTTTGGGCCAGGGCCCGGCACTTGGTTCCCAGTGCTGTCCCAGGGACTGAGAGAGGTCGCCATGGGGATGGAGCCCGAGCCTTCTCTTTCCTGTGAAGGCCGGGATCCGTCGAGGGCTCGGGGATGGGAGTCCAGCTCCCAGTCAGGTCAAGGCTGCTGTTTAAACGCACTGTGGAGATGCCGGGTGCTTCAGGGCACCCGTGCTCAGCCCAGGTGCTGTGTGTGTTCCCCTAAACTCAGTCCCTGTTGTAGCAGCCTGGCTTCCTGTGTGCGCCCACTCCCGGAGCAGCAGGGCCATCAGGCGGAGCTCTTCCTGGAGGGCCGGGAGCAACTTGCTGTCACAGCGAACCCTCAGGCCATGTCTCAGGGTCTGCCGATGCAGGAGGAGGACGGTCCCCCTTTCGGAAGCAGCCAGTGTCCTCAGGGAGGGAATGGTGATCATGATGGGTCCCTCAGGGCCTAGGAGCATACAGGAAAACGGGACTGCGGAAAGCACTGTCCCAAAAGGCCCGTGTCGTATGATGTCATTTATGTGAAATGCCCAGGACAGGCCTGTCCACAGGGACAGAAGCAGAGTCGTGGTAGCCAGGGCTGGAGACGTGACTGTTCATGGCTCGGAGTTTCTGGGGATGACGGGAATGTTGTGGAATTAGATGGTGGCGGTGGCACTAGCCCAGCACTGCTGTGGAGGGCACGCGAGATACACACGTGCTTCCTGAACCACTGAGGGCTGGGCCAGCTCAAGTGGTGACGGCCCAGTGTCTGGGGTGATGGGACTGTCTTATGCCTGCGGGGGCTTTTGGGACTTGCCTGAGCCCCGCTTTCTCTGCTGTTGGCACAGATGACGTCCGGCTGTTCGCCTTTGTGCGCTTCACCACGGGGGACGCCATGAGCAAGCGGTCCAAGTTTGCCCTCATCACATGGATCGGGGAGAATGTCAGCGGGCTACAGCGTGCCAAGACCGGCACAGACAAGACCCTGGTGAAGGAAGTGGTGCAGGTAATGGCCACGTCCCCCAGGGGGGACTGCGGGGCTGTGGGGGAGATGTGACTAACAGCGCTTCCGGGTGCGGGCTGGGGCCGGCAACCTGTGCCATCCCAGTGGCCACCACCTGGGCACATCACGCCGGCCCCGGAGGTGCCCGCCCACATCCATGGAGCGCACCTGTGCCCTCTCAGTGCCAGCACACGGGGCCTGGTCACTCTTGGCAATGCCAGCTGTTCCACGGTAGGAGGGACTGCGGCGGGGTTATGACTTGGTGACCTCAGGGTGAAAGGTGTCCCGGGTCCCACTGAAGGACAGGGAGCAGCTCTCTTGGCCCTGGTTCCAAGCCCTGACCGCTCTCTGGGGCGCATTCTCTGGCCTGGAGCCCTTTTGTTCTGCAGTGGAAGCAACTTGGAGCTGTTGGGAACTCTTGAGGTTGGTGGCTTGCAGTGAGGTCTGGGGTCACCGCGAGAAAAGAGCATCTGATCCCAGGCAGATACAGCGGGGCTGGGTCAAGGGCCAGCGCTCTGTCCTCACCGCAGGGCTGCAGTGTGCAGGGGAGCCCAGGCCTCCCCGCCTCTTCAGCACTGAAACTCCCTCGAGCGACCAGAAGCAGCACCACAAGGCTGCCCTGTCTGCAGCCGCCTGCTGCAGGGGTGCAGGTACCACCACCTCTCCTTCGCCACACACACGAAGCAGTGTAACTGGTCCAAAGTAAAGTTTAAAAAGTCATGGGCTACCGCTTCTCGGCCTTTTGGCTAAGATCAAATGTAGTATCTGTTCCTATCAGTTTAAAAAATCATGGGCTAACAATGAGGACAGTGACACTTAAGAGTACGGGGTTTCTTTTGGAGGTGATGAAAATGTCCTAAAATTGACTATTACGATGGTCTCACTTAGCTGTGCAAATGCTAAAAACCATTGGACTGTGAAAGACAAAATCAAAACCATGTAAGGCAGGGCTGGGGATGTAGCTCAGTGGTTCTGCTGCCTGCCCAGCAAGTGCAAGGTCCTGAGTTCGATCTTTGGTGCCAAAAAAAAAACAAAACCCAAAAAATCATTGCAGCAGAGGTGTCACGGAGTGGGAGATGCTAAAGATTCCCTAAAATTTATGTCAGTCCGTGTTCGTGATACGTAGCCAATGCCTGTGGCGAGGGGAGCTGGTCCCCGCGCACCACGCCTGTGTCCCCCCCTCCCTTCGGCCTCCCTGTTTCCTGTTGCCTTTTATTTTGCTCTTTCCGTTGTTTATCCTTGGGTTTCCTGTATAGGAGGCACCGTGCTGTCGCTTGCCATCCACGTCACCTCTGCTTCCCCAGTATTCTGGTCTCCAGGAGTTGGCTTGAGTGTGTTGGGGCGGGGCTGAGAGGCTCCTGTCTCTTGCAACTTCTCTGCTGGCCTAGCTCTTCCGGAATAAACCTGTCTTTTAGAGGAGGACCTGAAGGCCTGCTGTCCCGGCTCTGTGGTGTGGTGAGCGCCCGCCAGCCCCTGTCCGTGTCCCTGCCACCTCTCTGCGTGTGGCAGTCACAGCCCCCGGCCGCTCTCTCCCCCGCAGCTCCTTTTTAGGTTAACACGAGGTTTCGCCAGTTCTGTGGGCACCACAGCCTTTGTAACTGTTGCTCCCTGGCAGGAGGGTGCCCCACTTCACAGGCTCCCCTTGCTGTACTGAACGTTCCCTGCTCCTGGCCTCAGGAGCCGCTTCCGATTGCATTTTTATAAATCACGTCCTGAGCAGCATTTCCAGCTGGGCAGCTCCCTCTCTCTCTGTGGAATGATTTCTTTGGGTTCATGCTCAGGAGCAGGGCTGACAGGCACAAGAGTCCGTCTTTAGAGGTCTGGGCTGCCCGGCTGCCTCAGAGGCTCAGCGGTCTGCCCAGACTTTGCATGGCCTTGGTGACATTGCCTGGCCAGGACCACTTCAGTGCTGCCCCTGTGTCCTGCTGTGCTCCCGAGCCTGCCCATTCCTGGCACAGCTTCCTTCGGCCCACATGGTTTTGTTCTTCTGGTGTTTTGAGACAGGACCTTGTTATATATTCCAGGCTGGCCTTGAACTCTTGGAGCTCCTCCTGCCTCAGCCTCCCAAGGGTTGGGATTACAGTTGTGTGCCACCATTCCTGCTCAGTCCAGTTGGGTTGTAAAGGCTGACCGGCTGCAGGGGTATCCTGTTTCCTGGCCAAGGTCTCCCAAAGCTGGGCAGGTGTCCAGTGGGCAGTTTCCCTTTCTCTTTCAGTTTCTAAGACCGCAGTTGAACAGCGACAGCACTCGGCATTGTAACCACTCCAGGCGCACTGGCGGGGCCCTGAGCACATCCTGAGTCGCAGGCCACCAGAGTCTGTTCTAGGGCGAGTCCACCCCAAGGTGGCCGGGCCCTGGGCTTGCAGTGTGCAGGTTTCTGTCCGATCCGGAGCCATCTCAGAGCGGTTCCATGGGCCGGGAGGCTCCGGGAGACCCCTGGGGAAGAGGGCTACAATTCACTTGTGTGCAGGCTCAAGTAAGGGAAGCCAGAGGGGACTCTGGGCTGTGGGAGCTGGGAAGGGGGCTGCAGCATTAGATTCGGCTGCCCTGGGGCTCAGGCACGATTTCCCTCCCTCGGCAAGTAGCCGGGACTGTAGGCGAGTGCCACCATGCTGGCTGCTGGCTGCCGGCTGTGGTGTAATCTCCTGACCGTTACCATTTTCACTTTTCCGCACTTACATATGTGAATGATCTGAGCTAGGTGTGTGGTGCACGCCTGTTATCCCAGCCACTTAGGAGGCTGAGGCAGGAGGATTTCGAATTCAAGGACCATCTCTGGAACTTTGAGACAGTCTCAAATCCCTCCTCTTCCAGCCCTGGGAAGGGGCTGGAAGGGCCCATGAGGGCCTGCGTGGGCTGGCCCCTCTGCTGGGCCTCCCTTTGCTGTGTCCCTGCTGAAGGCCTCTCCGGGTCTCCCTCCCCAGCTTCCCGACCAGGAGTCGAGGCCAGGGAAGCGGGGTGTGGTGACCATGCACAGGTCCCAGGTCCCAGTGCCCAGCACCGAGAGCCACAGTGAGGCCAGTGGGAGCTGGAAACGACTGGGCTGTGAGCAGCAAGTAAGAGGGCCCGAGAAGTCCTGCAGGAAGCGCCCTCTCGTTTGTGTGGTTTTTATTTATTTATTTATTTTTTTGAGTCACTGTCTCAAGATGTTGTTCAGCCTGGCCTTGAACTCACATTGTACCCCAGGCTGGCCTCAGACGCATAGTAACCCACCTGCCTCAGCCTCCCAAGTCCTGAGATCACAGGTATGCGCCCCTACGCTCCACTTTCATTTGTGTTTGAATTTACTGTTTCCAGTCCCTCTCGATGGTGGAAACTTTGAAGCTGGAGATGGAATGTGGCTGCTCAGTGTTTCCCTTGCTGTTACTCTAGCTCTGTCGACCCCTGGCCAAGAAATTTGATCTCTGGAATCTCTGTGTTTGCACTTAACGAAAAAGAGAATTTAAGTTTTCACAGAGTTGTTAGAATTAAAGAAAAACCGCTTCTGGGGCCGGGGATTTAGCTCAGTGGTTCTAGCGCCTGCCTTGCAGGTGTAAGGTGCCGAGTTTGATCGCCGGAATCAAAAAAAAAGAAAAAAGAAAAACCACTTCCAATTATTCTTTCCCCTGCCCCTCCCTCCTTCACTTTCAGCTGCATCCCCAGCCCTTTTTTATTTTGAGACAGCGTCTTGCTAAGTCACTAAGTTGCCCAGCCTGGGCTCAAATGCCTCTCACCACGCCTGGCTAAAATCCTGATTCTGTGTGTGTGAGAGAGAGAGATTTTGTTTTTATTGCTTGGGGTTTAGGACACTGGATGGAAATCGTCCCCTGTGAAGCCCTGGTTCTTTACCCCGTTCACCTGCCAGCTGTGATCAGAAGGAGCCGCTCCTGTAGTGTCTGCAGTGGCCCGGGCTCGAGTGCCCAGAGGGAAAGCAGCGCCCGAGGGTGGGAGTCCTGGCTGCGTTAGCATAGGTGCCACGGGCGCAGTGTGTCAGGCAGAGCTGTTCGGAAGAGACACGAGTCTGTTCACGTTGCTGCTCCATGATTGTAGAACAGCAGGGAGAAGCGCCATGTACCTGTTCTGAGGGCGGAGTTAAGCTGGGGGAGCCAGTCCCACCTTGGAGGGCTGGTGCCTGGAATCTGGGCCCTGCTTTTGTTTGGGGGGTGGCAGGGAGAACAGGGCTGCAGGGCTTTGCTCCCTGCAGAGCATCGGTGGGCTCCTGCGCACCGGGGGACCATCACAGGGGACTGTAGTCATCTCTCTGGGGTCTGTGCATTGCTCTTGGGGCCCAGCTGTTTGTTTTCACCCGTGTCTGCCTGCGGGGAGCGCCCGTGTCCTCTGAACCTGGGCCTTTGTCCTGAAGCCTCCAGGAGGTGCAGCCTGAATGCAGGAAGGGGGCGTGTTAAACACTGGACAACACAAACTGCTGACTGCACAGCGGAAAGCTGCCAGCGGCAGTGCCAGGTGGGGCCAGGTGCTGGACTTAACCCCCATGTACAGATGGGGAAACTGAGGCAGGGGAGTCCTTGAGCCAAGGTGAGTGTGAGGCAGATGCCAGGTTGTGGGGGGTCAGAGGCTGCTTCGAAGGTGGTTCTTTATTGGGAGGGCAGGGGGATCCCCCAGAGGCTTCACCCTGGAGCGTGATTGAGGCCTTGTGCCCTTCTGGAACAGCCCTGGGCTCTGTGTTCTTCCCAGGTTATATGGTGGTGATGCCTGCGAGCCCAGCACTCTGGGAGGCTGAGGCAGGAGGATCGAAAGTTCCAGCCCAGCCTGGGCAACTTAACACTTAGTGAGACCCTGACTCAAAAAATCAAAAAAGGGCTGGGTACTATAGCTCAGTGCAAGGACCCTGGGTTCAATGTCCAGTACTGAAAAGGGGGAAAAAAGAGATACTATTTACTTGTTTACTCATTTTTTGTTAAAATATGGAAATAGTCTGGTATTTACCGACAGCATCTTTGAGGATATGTGATATCATTTTTTAAAAATTCTGTTGAATTATTTCTTTGGGAAAAGTTCCCAAA